CATTTAGAGGGATATCATCGAGGGAAATATTCCAAAATCCAGAGAAAACTTTGGCCTTCATTTACTCTTTCCAGGGTTAGACTGGAACCTTTATGCACAATTTAAGTATCCAGAAAGGAAATTAAATATCCATTCAGAGGACAGGTACATAATTATTAAAAATGGCAACCAGTGAATTTTAATTAACTTTGGGGGAAATGCTTAAATTATAATGTCAAGTTGAAAAACCAGAAAACAAAAAGTATGTATAATGAATCATTCCAACCGCATAAATAGCATGAAAGAAAGAGATGGAGCGATTGTATCTGTTCACACTTCACTGTGCTTCCCAGATTTCTGGAAGGAATGGATGACAATCAGAGAAGGCTTTCAGTCAAATTTCCCTTCTGCTTGATATAAAGAATAGAATCATAAGCATGATTAATAAGCTGATAAAAGATGCTTTATTTTCATTTCACTGCTCTTCCTCCCATTTTAAGTTAAGAAACTGAGAGTTGAACTCAAGGAAGGAGGTGGATGGACTGGATCCAGGGATTGGGCTCAAGAGCTCAGAGAAGGACACCGAGGGGCAGAGCAAAGGTTCAGAACGGATTAGGGAGTTCTCAGGGGCCCCCAGCATCATTTACGGGGTAACATGGCCAAGATCCAGCCAAAAAATGAAAGGAAAGGGAAAGCAAACAGATTACCTAGTGGAAATTGATATAAGCATGGAAAAGGTGGGTTTCAGTGGGTAAAATTGTGGGTAAAAGGTTTTCTCCTTCCTCTCTTTTCAGTTTTTTTATAAAGCGATCTTAACTTTTTTTTTTTTAATTTTTTTGGCTTTAGGGTTACACCTGGAGATGTTCAGGGGCTGATTCCAGGCTTTATGCCTGGCAGTGCTTGGGGGGACCATTTGAGATGACAGGCTCAAACCCTCGGCCGTGTGCAAGGCAGACACCCCCACTCACTGTACTATTGCTTTGGTCCCAAAACTTTGAAATTTTTCTTTATGTTTAAAGAAAACCCATTTGAGTTCACTGAACTGTGAGCAGCAGAGAGGAAACAGACCCTGCATTCTGCCACTCCCAAGGAGATTGGGAGCTGGGGTAGGAAGGGCGCGTTGGCCATGCATCGCTCCCATGAACAGGCCACAGCACACACAGGGGGGCTACAGGAACCCCAAGACATAGGGGGAGGAGTGTGTGTGTGTGAAAGACTGTGTGTGACTGAGAGTGTGAGGGAAACTCTCTCTCTCTCTCTCTCTCTCTCTCTCTCTCTCTCTGTGTGTAGTGGTGGGGTTTTGTGATGAGAAAATGCAGGATCCTTGAGTCTTTACCACTCAGGCCAAGCCAATTCTGCCCAGCAGTTTCTCTGCCACACACAGAGAATCATGCACAGGCATGTATGCACACACATGCACATAAATGCATTCACATGTGTGCTCTGGTGTGCATATTCCCTGAAAGCCGTGGGCCCTGGTGATTCCCCCTGCAGCCAGCATCTCCCACATAAAGCACAAAGCACATGACCTGGGGTGAGAGGGTTCCTTAGAGCCTGGCCCCTCCTTAGATCCCTTCCCAGCATCCCCCAACAGAAGGGAGGGGAACCGGGTGGGGAAGAGGGACACACTCCCTGCAGCCTTCCTCCCTGGGTCCACCCTGGGAAGAAAGAAGACAAGGACTTGTGCCCAGTGCCTGGGCATAGGGGCTCTCCTGGAAAGCCGCAGCCTAGTCCTCCTTCTGGGCAGGTTTGCTGCCCTCTTACCCCTGCACAAAGCACCTTCCCTTTCCTGCCAGGGTGTGAGGGTGCTCAGACTGTGGATAGTGGAGTGCCCAGGGTGTGACACTTGGGGACAGTGAGGGGGCGGTGCAGGGGAGAAGGTGTGGTGAAAGGTTCTGGGGCGAAGGGGGCTGGCCGCGAGGGAGTCTGGGGTTCAGCCTGGGGTGCCCAGGGATCACAGGGGAGCTTGAGGAGCTGGTGGAGGTGGGTGAAGGGGGAGGTCTGGGCGGTACCAGCGGGGAGCGAGCAAGGAACTCAGAAGTCAGATGCCTGTGCCCCGCCGGCCGGAGTTTTAGTTCTTAGCACTGACCGCACTGGCCTGAGGTCACACAGCCAGAAGGGCTGACCCAGTAGCTGGAGTCTCTGTCCCAGAACGCACTGGGTCCCTGACCCTTCCAAGGTCAGAAGAAGCAGGAGGAGACGAGAGGGAGGACACTGAGGGGGCAGAGGTCAGATGAGGTGGGGAGATGAAGCGAATACAGAATGCCCCCCAAGGGGCTGCAAGGTGGTGGGTCACTTGGTGCTCCTAGGCTGTGCTCCACCCCCTATACTATTTCTCCAGCCCCAAGCCATGAATTCTTTTATGTTTGCTTGGTTTGATTTGGGGGCCACACCTGGCTATGCTCAGGGCTTACTCCTGGCTCCATACTCAGGGATCACTCCTTGTAGGCTCAGGGGACCATATGGGGTGCTGGGGATGGAGCCTGGGTTTGCACCTGGGTCTGCCAAATGCAAGGCAAGTGCCCTGCCCACTGTACTATTTCTCTATAACTATATAACTACATAAACTCTTGATGGATCATGTTGCTTAGGTGGTACTGAGGGTCACCTTAGCTCTCTCTCTTGTCCTAACGCTATTTTTCTTTCTTTCCTTGAAGTTGTTTGCTGTGGGGACCACCCCAGGAGTGCTCAGGGGCTACTCCATGCAGTGGCAGGGATAAAATCTGGGTCTCTAGCACACAAAGCGTGCACACCCGCTTACTGGGCCACCTGCCTGGCCTCTGACCTAATCCCTTGGGTGACTGTGGGTGTTTCCAACGGCCTCCCTGCCCATCAGTTACTAAAACTCAGGTGCCGTTTTCCTAAGGTGCGTTCGGCCCATCTGGGAGACGGGTGTGTTGAGCTCAGAGACCTGTATCCTCTCTTCCTGTTTCTTCTAACTCTGCCATCTGGAATAAATCCCTTGGAAAATCAGAACCAAGTAGGAGATGTCTTTGATTCTACTCAACCTGCCAACCACCTCTCTTCGACGCCCTGCTGACTTCTCTGGGGACAAAGATGGCGAGTAGCAGAGAGACCCTGTCACCTCACTAAAGTCAAGAAAACATGCACCCCCAGCCTGCCAGCCTTGCCCCATGCAGAGCGGGTGCCCTCTCCCACTTCCGCCCACGAGACCCTATTCAAGGTGAGACTTAGCAGCTCTCTCCCCCCGGCAGCGCGGGCACTATCTATGGGCTTCCTTCATTCGGATCCTTCTGTGAAAGACTGGGTGGGGAGGGGTGAGCACCCTGCCTGTTCACATCTGGAGGGATAACATGAAAACAGATTATAAAGGAGAAATGAAAAACTGCGGCGGATCCCAAAATAGCAGGCTGAGAGACTGGCGTTTCATTTGGTCCCCTCCGGCACTCCTCTAACTTACTTCGGAACCCCCCAGCACCCAGGAACCTCGGGTCTACAACTGAACCATCTGGGCTCCCAAGGTGACCCAGCAGAACTGGGGTTCCCGATTCTCCCCCTACTCTGATTGGGCCTCGTCCTAGCTCCTTCCTTCCCCTGCAGGGCAGTCAGATGCTTTTGTCAAGTGATCTGCAGCTCCAGGCTGCTCACTCTGCAGAAAGAAAAAAAGAAAACGGGGAAACAGCAAGTAAGAAAATAGAGCTCTCTCCTGGGGACCTGCAACCGCCACCTGCTTCCCTGGCCCCAGAGGCTGAGGTCAACTTCCCCTTCTTCCTAGGCTCACCGCCCTCGGAAGACCAAGACGCTGGTCCCTCCAAGACTTGCTGAGCAGACACTGGTGCAGTCTTGACCTGCTTGACAAGCGCAGGTGTCTTATGGGGGGTGGAGGGGAGCTGAGAAATGATGGAGGGGCCTGCTCTCTCTCTCTCTCTCTCTCTCTCTCTCTCTCTCTCAGAGGGGACACCAGGCACTGAGCCCCTCCACCACATTGGCGCTGCCTCTGCCTCCAGCAAGCAAACTTTGTGACTCACAGCCTCTGCCGAGGGAAGTAGCTGGGTTAAATTGGGAATGGTTCTTCTGCACCTTCCCGGCCACCACCTGAACCCCTCCCTGGCAGTCTGGATGCGAATGGCTGCTAGACCTGGGTGGGATGGACCTGAGCCCATTAAGATTCCTCTGTGAGTGAGTGAGTGTGTGTGTGTGTGTGTGTGTGTGTGCGCGCGCGACACACACACAGCAGTTGTGCAAGCTGCACCAAACAGCCGCCTCCGACACTGCCCTGGGTCTCGGCTCCCTTCCTGAGCACTGCAAGGCGGAGCACTGCTAGGCGAGCACCTGAGCGCTGGCTTTCCTTCACCCACACCAGAAGAATCCCCGGTACCCCCGCAGCGCTGCGGCGCAGCGTGAGGGGCTCGCTAACTGTTGCACACCAGTGGAGGCGGTGGCCCGGGCGAGTGGGCGAGAAAGGTCAGCGGACAGAGTTCTGGCTCCCCCCGAACTGCGTGGCGCCCTCGGCGGCCGCGTCCCGCGTCCTCACTGCGGAGGGCGAAAGTGCAAGTTGGGGGGGCCTGGGCGGACCGCGGCAGGGGCGGGCGGCGGCCAGGTCCAGCAGGGCGGCCCGCGGGTGCCGCCAGCCGCCTCCCGGGAGCCGGACACCGGGCAGCGCGAAGGCGTCCCCGCAGCGCCGGCCCGGCGTCGCGTCGCGCTGCAATTCCCCGGCACAACGCGCTTTTGTTAATTCCGCAAACGCCGGCCCGCGACCCCCTCCGCCGCGCCGCTCGGGCAGGTCTGCTCGGCGCCGGGGGCTCCTCCCCCGATCCCCGACACCCCTCCCCGCCCCAGCCCGCCGCCGGACCACCGCCCACCTGCCCCGGCGCCGGCAAACGCAGAGCCCGCAGGAGCCCCGCGAGGACCCCCGCGTCCCCCGGCCCTCGGCATCTTTGTCCTCCCAGCCCCGGCGCGAGCGCACCGCGCTGCGGGGAACCCAGCCCGGACCCCGCCGAGGGGGGGACAAAGGTGGGCGTCCCGCAAGTTTGCGAGCCCCGAGGCGGCGCCCTCCTTACCGTACATCTCCGCCAGGAGGCCGCGTCTACGCCGCGTCGCCTGCCAGCAGCCCCCGGCGGCGCCTGCCTTTCATTCACAGGCGGAGCGGCGGATGGCGGCGCCGGCGGAGGCCCGGGCGGGGCGGGAGCCGAGCGGGGCCGGGCGCGGGGGGCCGGAGCCCGCAGCCGCGCGCCCATTCAGCGGCCGGGGCTGAGCGCGGCCCGCCTCCGCCGGGGCCCGGGGCGGGGCGGGGCGGGGCCGCACCGGGGGGCGGAGACATGCTAATACGGGCGGGGACATGCTAATAGAGGGCGGGGTCTGGCCATTCGGGGCGGGGCATGCTGACACAAGGAGGAATATGCTGAAATAGGGCGGGGACATGTTAATAAAAGGCGGAGTATGGTAATATAGGCGGGGATCTGCCCATCCAGGACGGGGGATGCTAATACAGGGAGGGGTATGCCAAAATAGGGCGGGGACATGCTAATAAAAGGCGGAGTATGGTAATATGAGCGGGGATGCTAATATAGGGAGGGGAATGCTTAAAATGGGGCGGGGACATGCTAATATAAGGCGGGGTCTGCCAATATAGGGCGGGGAATATGCCCATACAGGGCGGGGATATGCTAATAACCCCTCTGCGGGCTGCAGGGACCCTCACCCGGGCCCCACAAGTTCCCTCCCTCTGCCGGCTCCTCCCAGACGCCCCTCGGGGAAACCCAGATCCCGAGACGCGCCTCTTCCCAGGCTGACACCCACCCGAGAGCGACTGTGTTTCCGCACGGTTCCCTCGGGGGAGTCACCCACCGGCTCTCCGGCTCCCTTCGCCAGCTGCCCAGCCCCCGACCGCGTGGGTCCCACACGTCCGCAGGGACTCCGGGAGCTCAGGTGTGCCCCCTGCCCCGCCCCTGTCCAGAAGGCGTGGGCTGACGTGCGCCAGGAAGATAGGCCGGACAACGGCCTTCTGGCCTCCCCCACTTGGGCCAACCCGATTGTCTAATGAACTGCTCGGCCGGGAGCTTGCTGCCCAAGAGCGTCCTTCCAGGTACGCCGGAAACGCGGCTGCGTCGCAGGGGTTGGCAGAGGTCGGCTGCTTCGTCCCCTCCCAGGTTCCTGCATGTAAGTCACGAGCCTGGCGGCCAGGATCCTCCGCAGCAGCGACCCAGGGCGACCGCTCCACCTTCTGCGCCCGGGTGCGACAAAGAGAGAAGGAAGGCCCCGCCCGTGCCCTGAAGACACCTTCCAGCCCAGGTTCACCTGTCTGTCCCAGCCGCCAGCCAAGCCATCTCTTGCTCCGTGTCTCCTCCTAACCCCGTGATTGAGCTTTCTTGTCTTTAAAAGATTCTATCGGTGCAAGTCTGCAGACCCTACAGACTCCATCAAGTCCCTGGTCGGTCGTAGAGGAGGAACCAAGCACGTCAGGCCAACCTGTGTCCTTTCCCCTAGATCAGCTGAGCTGTGTGTTGGCAGGGTAGTCATCCTCCCTCTCTGAACCTCAGTTACTTGAGGACAGTGAGAAAACATACATGCAACTTACGTGAAAGCCCACCATGGACCCTCTCCCAGATTCAAAGAAATCATTCTTCAACCAAGGCTGGGAGAGAGCAAGAATCCAGTCTGTGGACTCTTGGGATAGTGCTCTCTCCATTGCTTTGGGGGCGGGGCTATGCTCATTCCAGGCGGGGAGATGCCAGGACAGGTCCAGGCGTGCTGTAATCTTGGGACATGCTGAAAAAAGGACTTGCCAAACCCTTTTTCAGTTGCTCCTTGACCTCACCACCCCTTGGCCCATCTGGCTATTGCCAGGTTACTGTTCCTTTCCCTCTTTGCTCCTCTCAGCCCCGGGCAAAGCTCTGAGAAGGTTCCTGGAGCTTGCCTTGCCCCAGCAACCCACAGAGGCTCCCACGGAGGCTCCCAACACACCTCTGCGACTGTTCTAGAACCTCTCTGGCTGGCTACGGCTGCTCCTGAGTCCCACCCACTCTGGGGCCGTGGGGGGAATTTGGGTTTTGGTTTTTTGGCTTTTATTTTGGGTCACACCTGGCGATGCTCAGGGGTAACTCCTGGCTCTGCACTCAGGAATTACTCCTGGAGGTGCTCAGGGGGCCATATGGGATGCCGAGGATCGAATCTGGGTTGGCCGATTGCGAGGCAAATGCCCTTCCCGCTGTACTGTTTCTCCCATCCAGAGGGCGGGAGTCTGGAGTAGAGAGAGCTGGGGCTGGATACCCAGAGATATGCCCCTTGCGCTGAGAGAACTGTAGGTCAGGCTCTGCTCGACACAAAATACATTCATGAAGCCCAAGTGTCTGAGGCACAGTAGGAGAGATGCAGTGTCTGTCTTCACACAGTGACTTGTCTGGCTGAGTGTGCGAGACAAATACTGATTTGAGGAGGGGAAAAAAAGCATTTCACTATAAGGGAGAATGCGAGGTGCTGCACTCAAGACATTCAGAGGAAGGATAGGTTAATTCGTTCTTTTTATCAGATAGTTAATGATTCCCTCCCTATTAGAGCTTCCCTCTGTTAAAGATATGCAGGAAAGAAGACATTGGCCAAAACCTAAGAAAATGGAATAACTGCTGACAGCAGAGGCTCACAGAAGGGACAGTGGAGGGCTTCAACGGGGGATCAGAAATGCTCGCCTTGGGTCTTGGAGCACGGGCAGGATGCCAGCCGTGGGATAATGGAGACCATGATCACAGAGGTGGCAGTAATTTGCAGAACTCAGATGGTAGAGAATGGGAGTGTGGGGAGACGCATCAGTCTGCCTGGAGCAGACACAGAAGAAGGAACGAGGACTTGTAGGGCATTCTGGGGCCAGGCTGGGAATCCGGAGGGCCCCACCCCAAGACTCCCATCCAGGGGTGCTAGATTTAGCATAAAAAATGCAGGATGCCCAGTTGGATTTGAATTTTAAGTAAATATGAAATTACTATTAGTGTATGTACCAGGCAACATTTGGCTCCTATTTACACTTAAAAAAAAAAGGTTCTTACTACATTCAGCCTAGTTTTTAAAATCAAATTTTTTGGGGGGTAGGAGATGATAAGGATTAAATCTAGGGCCTCAGACTTGCAAAGCTTGAATTCTAGCCATGTTCCCAGCCACACAGAATAAAAAGTTTAAGCTGTGTTTCAGTGAGCACCCTTATATTTATTTGTTTCAATCAATGATTATATGTTACCGTGTATTTTAGATGAATATTCCTTATTCATTAAGTATGTGTCAACCTATGTTTTTTCCTCTTCCTTTATGTTACTGTTGTTGTTTTTGTTTGTTTTCTGGGCCACACCTAGTGATGCTCAGGGGCTACTCAGGAATTGGTGCTGGTGGTGCTCAGGGGGACCACATGGGATACATGGGATGCTGGGAATCGAACCCAGTCACTGTGCTATCACTCCAGCCCCACGCAACCTATGTTTTACTGGTAATTGTACTTTCATGCTTCTGGGATGCTCCTGTACACCCATGGCTGAGCCGGGCCCAGAACAGCCGGTCCCTCCCTCCAGTCTTTGTTTTCCGGTTCAGCCCACTAGGAGCACAATTAGGGCACAAGAGTGGGTCACTCTGGCCAGCCTACACCCTTTGATTGCCTATGCTTCTGATTGTTTTGGGGCCACACTGGGAGTACTAAGGGCTTATTCCTGACTGTGCTCAGGGGACAATATGGGGTGCCAGAGATGGAATCCAGGTTGACTGCCTGCAAGGCAAGCACCCTCCCTGCCATAGCCCTGACTGGGTGTTTGGCCCAAGAAGCTGAGGGCTCCTGGGCTCTGTGTAGTCAGTGCTGAAAGGTTCATCCCAGACCTTGGTCCTTGGAGACATAGAGGAGATTCTGGCAAATACTGTGCTGGAGGGTCATGCTGCATGGTCCCCCAGCACTGCTGAGCAATGCATTGGGACTGTTGGAGGACATTGGGTTGCCCTTGCTCCTCCTGCAGAGAGCTTGGGTTATTCAGTTACTCCCACAACAGTGCCCCTGAGGCACACCCAATTCCATCAAGCACTAATAATCCTATATTGCTTTTTCTCTTTCCTTTATGTCACTTGAATGGTTTAGCAATATCCTTTTTGTATAGACACAGGAAGACAGTTCATGCTATGCTCTGTAACATGGGAGTTAATTGACTCCAAAATAATATTTACTTCCTGGGTACATCTTGCTATATATTCCAGACCACAGTCCTCAAGCCAGGTTAGTCTTTCTGAACCCCAGCAGGGTTCTTCCTTCCTTCCTTCCTTCCTTCCTTCCTTCCTTCCTTCCTTCCTTTCTTTCTTTCCTTATTTCTTTCATTATTTCTTTCATTCTTTCTTTTTTTTTTATTAGTGAAACACCATGAGGTACAGTTGTAGACTTACACACTTTCGTGCTTGGGTTTCAGTTATACAATGATTGAATACGCATCCCTCCACCAGTGCCCATTCTCTACTACCAATGATTCCAGTAGCCCTCCCACCCCCCCACCCCATCCCCCCACCCCGCCCCACTTCTGTGGCAGGGCAGTCCCTTTTGCTCTCTTTTTCCTTTATGGTGTTGTGGTTTGCAATAGAGGTATTGAGTGGCCATCATGTTTGGTCTATAGTCTACTTTCAGCACACATCTCGCACGCTGAACGAATCCTCCAGACACCCTTTACTTGGTGTTACCTTCTCTATCTGAGCTGCCTTTTTCCCCAGCATATGCTGCCAGCTTCCAAAACATGGAGCAGACCTCCTGGTACTTATCTCAACTATTCTTGGGTCAGCAGGGTCCTTTATTCAGTTACTTCCTATTGGGTCATGACAGAGTTTGGCCCATGACCATGCTTTTAACTTATTATATTTCTTATGGCACTTGGCTTGTTCTCTTTCGATTCCAGGGTAGCTTACAGCTTGCCTTGTGTCCATCCGGTCCCTTCATCAGGACCCTGCTTTTGAGGGTAGGAACTAAGGTCAACTGATGCTTAGGTAAAGTAAATATTGATGTCCAGGAGTAAATATTATTTGGAGTCAATAAACTCCCACATTATAAAAGCATAGCATTAACTGTCTTCCTGTGTCTATACAAAAAGGACATTGCTAAACAGTGCCTGATGGAATTGGGTGTGCCTCAGGGGCACTGTTGTGGGAGCAGCTCAATAAACCTAATCTCCCTGAGGGAGAAGCAAGGACAACGCACTGTTATCCAACAGGGACCCCTAAAACTAACCAACAAAAT